GAGGTTGTAGCTAATAAACATAGCTGGACTGAATTTACATGGTCTCTTGGAGTTCCTTGGGCTAGGCCTGACAGGTTTTGACTTATAAAGCCCTATACAGCATTGGTCGCGTTTTAAGATGATCTCTTGCGGGGGCAGGATGGAGGTAGTGCATCCATCTTGTCTCTTCTTGACCTGTCAGCAGGTTTCAGTATCATTGACCATGGTATCCTTTTGGGTCAGCTGCAGGAGGTGGGAATGGGGGACACAGTTTTGTGATGGTTCACCTCCTTCCTCCAAGACCAGTCCCAATCAGTGTTAATAGGGAGAGAAAGGTTCAGCCCCGTGGCCCTTGCTTTGGGGAGTGCCGCAGGGCTTGGCGCTCTCTCCACTCCTTTTTAACATCTACATGAAGCCACTGGTGAGATCATCCGTCACCACAAGATGAGATATCATCAGTATGCATTTGTTTATCTCCATCCTGGTTGAACTAAGTGATGTTGTGGATGTTGTTTCACGGTGCTTGGAGGCTGTGGGGATCTAGATGGGGAACAACAGGCTTCAACTGAATTCTTAAGACAGAGTGGCTGTGGTTGCAGGGCTCTTCTGCATATGGGGGCTTACCATCTCTGGTCCTGGTTGGGTTAGCACTGCCACAGATGGACCCAGTGCATAATCTGGGGGTCCTCCTGGACTCACAACTCCTGCTCAAGGAGCAGGTGACAGTCATGGCTACTTGAGGGTCTTTGCTCAACTCCATGTTGTGTGCCAGTTGTGCCCTTTCCTGGATCAGGAAGCTCTTTTCTCAGTCACTCATGCCCTGGTCATCTCCCGCATGGACTACTGCAATGCACTCTACATGGGGCTACCCTTGAAAAGTATCCAGAAATTGCAACTGATGCAGAATGTGGTGGCACGGGCAATATGGGTGCCTCTGAAGCTGCGTATGTAACACCTCTGCTTCGTGAGCTACATTGGGTGCCAGTTTGCTTCTGGGTCCAATTCAAGGTGTTGGTTATGACCTTTAAAGCCCTCATGGCATGGGCCCAGGTTACCTGAGGACCATCTCGTCCTGATTACATCAACCCGTCCCACCTGGTCCGGCAGGAAGGGCATGTTACAGACCCTGTCGGCTAAAGAATTTTGACTGGAAAGGTCTAGGAGGAGAGTCTTTTCTGCTGTTGCCCCTGCCCTGTGGAACATCTTGATTTTTTTCAGATAGATACTCAAAACTCTTCTGTGGAGCATTTATGGACTAAGCAGATGCCACCTAGGTTGAATGTGATGTTGAGATGTGCTTTTTTTGGGTTTGACTACAACTTTATTTTATTCCAGAAGTTTTATTTTTATTTTACCGTGGATGATATATGTGTGTATATATATGTATATATTTAATTCTTAAATGGATGTTTATTGTACAATGGATGTTTTATTATAAACCACCAGGAGTCCTGCAGGATTCACCAATATACAAGCTGAATAAATCATAACCATCTATGTTTTTATTAAATTGTTCATATATTTATAGGGGCATGTTACAGCATGCAAAATTGTTTATATACTTTGATAGCCACTCATATTCTTGTTTATGTGAAAGTGCTTTATTCCTTGTATGAGAAACATTCATCTAATCCCAACAGCCCCAATATGGCATGTTCCAGAGATGTGTTAAACTGTTTCATCCTTTTCAGAGTCAGTGACCGTGCTAGTCTCATTTATATTTATTTAGAATTTTACATAAAGTAAAGGACAAATCTAAAGGAAAATAAAGAAAAAGGTGCAAGAAAATAAAGGAAACTAAAGTTATGAAATATAGTGACTTCCAACCTTCTCTTCAAGATGTTGACAAACCCATCATCTTCCCTCCCTCTTATCTCTTCCAGAAATCCCTTCAACACCACATTAAATTCGCATCTTTTTCAGTCATTAAATCCATAAACTATCATTTCATTTTTTTCTTCTTTTAGCAAAAAGTCCATTAAAGGTTTTCAGTCTTTTAAACAAGTACTTCTTGTTTTCTCCTTGACCAAACAGGTCAGTTTTGCCATTTCTGCTAATTCTAGCAGTTTTATGATTCATTCCTCCATTGTGGGAATTTCAGTACTCTTCCATCTTTGTGCATATAGTAATATTTCTGTCAGTACCATATGCAAAATTAATTTTCCATGAGTCTTTTCTAATTCAGTACCGATATGTCCCAATAAAAAAAGTTCTGGTTTTTTTTTTGCAATAGTATTCTTTAAAATTCTTTGTATCATTATATGTATTTGCATCCAGAATTCCTTGGCCTTTTCACAAGTCCACTATGCATGGTAAAATGTTTCATGCTTTTCACATTTCCGGTATTGACTTGAGGTACCTTTTTACATAGTGGCCATGCTAGTCTCCATTCATATGGAGGAAACTGATTCGGGAGAGATAATCCGTGAGAATTAAGGCACATGGAATAAGGAGAAATTATTCTGACCCTTTCCCTTTCCTTGATAAAAATATCTCTGTTGATCAATAGAAAGAGGTTTCTGTGGTCTCCATTTTTCTAAAGCAGCTTCCCCAAGGTTTCAGATAGTAGCTATGCTAGCTGTGAATGATAGCACTTATGCCTGGTATAGAGTTCAGTACATCTTGAGGACATCAGGGGAGATAGTTGGCTAACCCCCACCATTTTTTTTCTGCAGCTACCTGAATGATTTGGAGAGGATAGCCAGAGTGGATTATATTCCAACCCAACAAGATGTGCTGAGAACCAGAGTGAAGACTACAGGCATTGTAGAGACTCATTTTACTTTCAAGGACTTGCATTTCAAGTAAGTTCATAAACTTGTATTTTTATTTCCTTTGACAAAAAGAACTCATTTATAGCCAAAGGATAAAGTTGGAGTTTGGCTGTCAGTGCATGTAATACAGAAGTACCATGGTATGTATCTTGCAGTGAATGTTGTAATTTACAAGAGCTATATAGCATTTAAATTGCTGTACATTGTTACTTACATTTACTGGGAGGGAGGGGCTTGTGTGTCTGAGTGCAAAAGCAGGAAATAACACTTTTATATCCCAAAAAATTACTCTGAAACCACTATGTGATTCCTCACCTGTTTTGCTTTTAGCTCTAAATAGGCTGCTATGGATTGAGATATCCTTGACAATCTTAGCTGTTCAATAATGAATGAAGACTTCAGGGAAAGATGAAGAAGAAGATTCTGTTCAGGTTTTCCCCTTATGAGTGATACTTAGCAATGAAAAGGTCAGATCTCAGGCTCTTTTGGTATGGGAAATTTAGCATCAGTTTGATATGCAGATGAAAGCAGAATGTGTCCCAAAATTTGTGCAGTATATTCCTCTGCAGTCGCAGATTTTAGGCTGATCTAATGTTTGCTCACACAGTACATCTGACATAATCCAGTTTGATCATTGACATAGTTAGCTTCAGTCTTCTCTCAAGAAGTTAATACTCAGTTTTTTGGGTTTTTTTAGTTACCAGAGGAAAGTTTAAGAGGGAACTGATACTTAAAAAGAAAAGTGTGTGTGTATGTGTGTGTGTGCGCAGAAAGAACAGTGATAATTCAGATGGAGATTTAGATAGTGTGTATAAGTAACATCCACAGCAAAGCAGTTGAATTTGTGAGAGTTACAAAGCTCTCTAGGAAAGACAATACAATGGAAAAATATTCCTCAGATAGAGATGCCAAAGCAAAAGTTCTGTCAAAATGCCAAATCTGTTCTCTGCCATGACATTTCTAAATTTTTGCTTTACCTTTAACTTTAGTTTGCTCTCACTCTAAAGAACATGGAAATAGAATTGTTGTGACCATTTGTTAGTATGGAACAACACATTAAATCATCGTGTTAAACACAGAACCTTTATTACCTACCAATGCCACAAAAATTGCACACATTGCCTTATTTATGTATTTATGTATGTATTTATTTATTAAACCAATTTATATAGCCACCCATCTCACCACAGACAACTCTGGGCAGCATACAACAAAGCTAAAAATCAATAAATACACTAAAAATATAAAAAGCAAAATAAAACAGAGAATAAAAGAAAGTTAAAATAAGGGAGCCACCTCACTAATTCCCCCATAGCTGGCATCCCCAGGCCTGCTGGCATAACCAAGTCTTAAGGGACCTCCAGAAGCTCAACAATGACAAGGCCAACCTCACCTCAGGGGGAAGAAGATTCCACAGTGCAGGTGCCACAGCAGAAAAGGCCTGCCACTTGGGGCTGCCAAATGTAGCTCCCTAGGTGACAGAACTTGTAACATGCCCTCTCTGCTGGATCTGGTAGGATGGGCAGATGAAATCAGGGAGAGGCAGTCCCTCAGATAGCACAGCCCCATGCCATGAAGGGCTTTAAAGGTCAACACCAACATCTTGAATTGGACCCGGAAACAAATTGGTAACCAGTGCAGCTTGCAAAGCAGAGTTGTAACATGTGTTCTACTAGAAACACACATAACTGCTTGCGCCGCTGCATTTTGCACCAGCTGAAGTTTCTGGATACTCTTCAAGGGCAGCTCCATGTAGAGCACATTGCAGTAGTCTAACCGGGAGGTGGCCAGGGCATGAGTGACTGTGAGTAGGTCCCTCTGATCTAGGAATAGGCACAACTGGCACACAATACGAAGTTGTGCAAAAGCCCTCCTAGCCACGACTGCCACCTACTCTTCAAGCAGGAGTCATGAGTCCAGGAGGACCCCCAGATTGCACACATGGTCTGTTTGGGGCAGTGCAACCCCATCAGGTACCAAAGATGGTAAAATCCTAGAACCAGAGGGGCTCAAAACCCAAAGCCACTCAGTCTTGCCAGGGTTCAGTTGTTCCCCATCCAGATCCTCACAGCCTTCAGACACTGAGATAGGACGCCCACAGCATCGCTTGCGTCGCTGGGGCAGAGATGTACAATTGAGTATCATCAGCATGCTGATGATACCTCACCCCACGGCGACGGATGAGCTCACCCAGCGGTCTCATGTAGATGTTAAATAGGAGAGGTAAGAGCACCGACCCCTGCGGCACCCCATAGCAAGGGGTGGGGGCAGGATTGCTCCTCCCCAATCACTGCCGACTGGAACCGACCCTGGAGGAAGGAGGTGAACCAGCATAATACTGTGCCGCCCACTCCCAATTCTCTGAGTCGGTCCAGAAGGATACCATGGTCGATGGTATTGAAAGCCGCCAAGAGGTCAAGTAAGGCAAGGATGGACACACAACCACCTTCCTGCCCCAATACCAATAATTTTAAAAAGGTTGGAGTTGCAGCATCATTTTAAATGAGTGTGTTTTACTCAGAGACAAGGGCTTAATGACACTGGAGTTTGCCGGTCAGAAATGGTCGGCACTCCAGCAGTTTGGGCCCA